AGAATAGTAATTCTTGAAAGTGGACACTAGCTTGAAGGGAACATGTGACGTCAGGTGACAAGTCACCTGTCCGTTGGCACCTGAGTCACGATCTGACACGCTGATCAGTGCGACAACGGTGCCCAGTGGAGTGTTCTCTCTGATTGGAAGTGATAGGGACTTGAATTCCAAAGTTGGGACATTGTCATTGGTATCTTCTACTTCTACAATAACTCTACAGTGGCCAGAGAGTGGAAGCTGTCCTTTGTCAAAGCCCTCTACAAGAATTTCATAGGATTTGCATTCTTCGAAATCAATATATCCTTTTACGAAAATTTGTCCTGTAACTGGGTCTATGTGGAACTTGGATTTCACATTTGGTGAAATATCAGTAGAAAATGAGTAAATAATATCTCCATTCGAGCCTTCATCTAAATCTGAAGCATTAACTTTGATTACCAAGGTTCCATTTGGAACATTTTCTGGTAATTTCACCGTATAGAGTGTTCTGTCAAAAACTGGAGCATTGTCATTAGCATCCAGTACTGTAATGAGTAACTGGACTGTGCCTGTCAGCTCGGGTTTGCCCCCATCAGTGACAGTGAGTACTAAAAAAATCTCCGGAGTTTCTTCTCGGTCTAAAGATTTCCGTAATAGAAGCCCAAGACCTTTTACCCGTGGGTCATCGGATGGTTTTTCCAAAGAAAAATACTCATTGGGGCTCAGCGAGTAAGTGAGCAGAGCGTTGACTCCGATATCTGCATCAGAGGCGCCCTCTAGTGGTAGCCGAGTATCAAGTGGCTTGGATTCTGCAATGAACAAATTCTTTTGTGTCGCCAGGAACACAGGCGGGTTATCATTAATGTCCTTCACCTCCACTTCCACATGAAAAACCTGCAGCGGTCTGTCCACGATCACCTCCAGGTGGATGCTACACTCCGCGCTCCGCCCGCACAGCTCCTCCCGGTCGATCCGAGAATTCACAAACAAAATGCCATTCTGCAGATTTACCTCCAGAAGGTCCCCGCGGTCCTTGGACGCCACCCGGAACAGACGCGGCACCAGCTCCGCCAGCTCCAGCCCCAGATCCTGAGCGATGCGGCCCACGAAGGTGCCGTGTTTGACCTCTTCGGGAATGGAGTAGTGGAGTTGGCCACTCCCTGCCTCCCAGATTGCGAGGAGCAGAAAGGAAAGCAGCAGGCGCTGGGATTCCGGGCCACTTCCCCAGGAAAATTCCATGACAAGCGTACAGAGCTTTATTATGATTAGGAATCTTGTCTCAAAGTTAGGAAAAATCTGTTTGGTCATTTCCATGCAGCAGCATCCTCCATTTTTCAAACGCCGGATTGTGGATGCAGCTTCTTTCCAGTAAGAAGAAATATTTTCCCTTTTATTCTTGTTCCTGTCAGGTGTATTTTATGGTAAAGAGCGACATCATGTGGCTTCAAACCGTAAGTACCGATTACGGAAACCCATACTACTATCATTGCCAGGTCTTATTTTATTTACGGGCTTCTCCGAACACATTTCCAGTTTGGGGATAACAAGAATACTGAGGTACACATTCTGCACCAAAGAAATTTGATTGTGATTCTTAGTTTTACCACAGAAGTAACTTCTACTACAGTGGAAATCCTTTTTTATACAGATCTTAAGTATTTACAAAGAACCAACTGTAGTTAATGAAAACTTTGAAAATATACAATTGTGAAGTGTTGATAAGGAAAATTCATGATAGTTTCCTTGTATTATTTGGCATTCTAGAGGTTATTATTAATTATGACACCCTGCCTATCCTTGTACTTGCATTACTGGTGTTGAAGCAAAGGGAATGGTACCTGGGGAAATTGGTTCCAAGGACAAAGCCATTGAAAGGTAAATTTGCAAATATTTTTAAGAAGCATTCAAAGACTATCATAATTTCATTGAATATCTTCCTTGAGTCACCTAAGGGCCAAATGCTCAAGGGGGCTTTAACAAGGAAGTAGAAACTTCTAGTTAAAACACAAATATGAAAAATTGTGCTATATATGTGTAATATGAGTTGGAATGCATTCTGCTGTCATATATAACAAATTCGATTAAATTTTTTTAAAAAGAAACTTCTAGTAAATAGCTTGTGTGATGAAGTATTCCAGATAATGTTATTGACTGTAACTTATTTACCTCCTATAAGCAAGTAGAGTATTCTAATTTTTACTCTAATGGTTTATAAATACCTGCCTGATCTCCGATGTCTTAGATGACTACTTAAACCTCTACTTTTCCAGTGTCTAAGATTCCTACTTTCTCCTATTGTACTCATATATTTTAGTCAAACAGGATAATTGGCTACATTCAATTTTTTTTCTTAAAATTCTCCTTTAGGGTTGTGGCTCAGCGGTAGAGCTCTCATCTAGCACGTGTGAGGAACTGGGTTCGATTCTCAGCACCACATAAAAATAAATAAAGCAACTGTATCCAACTACAGCTAAAAAAATTAAAATTAAAATTAAAAATAGATACTTAACATTTACTAGACATTTATGATAATAGAAATGGTTTGGTTTTAATTGCCTAATAAAATACATTAATATAAGGTGATCATAAGATTAATCTGGAAATATGATGTCTTAAGCACTCTGAAAACTTTCTAAATAATACAAAAATATTTTCCCTACGAAATTGCCCTAATTAAGATATATTTCAATTTCCATGTGGAAAACGTGGCTTTTAGCTTGATTTTCATGCCAATTTTTTACAGTCATCATCTCTGAATCATCCCCAGTCTTAATGAGCAATTAAATCTTCCCAATACAGTATGATACATTTTTGTAAATAAACAATACAGAAGGAGGTAGTGATAATAGCAATTGTCAAACTTTTTGCTGCTTAAATACTTAAATTCATTTCCTTTGTGTTTGCCTAAACAAAAAATGCCATCTAGTGAAAATAGTTTTGGGTTCTCCTCTATGAAGAGCCACACCCACAAAAAACAACTTTTGGAATCATAACAGAAATCAGAGTACTTTCTCTGTTTGGGGACCCAACTTTTGGGTTTTACAGAATGATCATAGATCAAGCACACTGGGAGAAATTGAAAATAATTCAATTCTCAGTCATTTTATTTTAAAAATATTTAAATGTATAGATGAGGAATGCAACAGAATAAAAATATTTATTTGAAATAAATACCTATCCACTGTTCACTTAGTATAGCATCAATACATCTCTAAGAAGAAAAAAAAACTAAAAAATTTTCAAAATGTTTTTGTCAAGAGTCTTGTTAGTCAAGAATTTCAAGAGGAAGAAAGCTCAATTTGAAGTCCGAAGTCTCATATCCATCAAGGCAAGAACTTTGGATGATTCTATTATTTACAACAGGATGATAATAGAACTAACAAAATAAATATTAAATCAAGGCTGGATTAATACTTGATGAACAAGTGGCAGCAAAGGATATGCTTGAAAATAAAATGCAAGTGGGAAAAGAGAGGAGTGAGGGACATAATTATTTTACATTTTGGACTCTCTACAATATCTTTGAGTGACAATTGGTTTCAATTTGTTACTAATTGTACACAAGGGGGCTCTACACTACTACAATCCCAGCCCTTTAATTTTTTTATTTTGTGACATGATCTCACTTAAATTGTTGAGAATGGCTTTGAACTTGTGAACTCCTGCCTCTGCCTCCAGAGTCACCAGAATTACAGGAATGCATCACCATGCCCAACTTAAAAATTCTTTTTAAAATAACATTTAAATATGCCACAGAAGAATTAAAATTTCACTTCATATCGATATTTTCATTATTGCTAATAAAAATAATGAGAAAAATGAAGATAACCAAACATAGCGGTGCATGCCTCTAATCCTAGAGATTTGGGAGGCTGGAACAGAAGGGCCGAGAGTTGTAGGCCAGCCTGCATGATGCAATGAAAAGAGGTAAAAGACAGTTATTCTGCAGGTAGCACTTGGCCACAAGTTAGAGTAAATTCTGTAAATAATGAAATTCGTCCAAGAAAAAAAAATTTATTTGTACCCAGACATTTAGCAATAAAATAATCCTGCTACTGCACTTATCAACAAAACAAAATAACAATATAAATGTTAATCTCACTGTTCATTTCTTCATTCAAAATTTAGTCACAAAGAATCTGACCATTTTAATCACAAAATCAGCAACTGAAAAATGCTAATTAGTAGAATAGAGTGTAGTGTAATTAATAGAGTGTAGTGTAATTAAACATGTAATTAAACATGTTTTCAAGGGGGTGAAAACACAGGAATTTTTTTTTTAAAAAAAGAGAACGCTTTGGAAAGAATGATAAATTACTCACTTTGGCAGAGAGATCCATGTCCATAGCCAGTTGCTCCTCTCTATCCTGGTTAACTGGACATGGTGGAAGACTGGGGCTAAAAGCCATGAGGTCGGTCTTGGGTGGGCCCTCTCCAGAGCACATCTTCTGTCGCCTCTGCTGTGAGTACGACCAACTCCCCACCGCGCTGGAGCACACCAGCGTGGGCTTTCCAGGACCACAAGTGTCCTTGTTGGGTTCCGCAGAGCACCGAAACACTGTGTACAGCAGCAGGGTGAGCACCAACAGGCTGGATACCGCGCAGATGGCGATGATCAGGTACACGTTCACATCCACTAGCGCCGCCTCGCGGCCCGCGGCGCCAGTCAAGGCCCTTGAGGCCTTTGGCGCCTGGCTGCTTTCCACTAGAGACAGCAACACTGTGGTTGTGGCAGTCAGTGCCGGCTCCCCGTGGTCTTTGACCAGCACCAGCAGACGGTAGTGCTGCGCATCCGATTCATCCAGGGCTCGTGTGGTGCTGATCTCGCCTGTATACAGTCCCACACGGAATGGGCTTCGTGCACTACCTGCCACCAGTTGCAGCTCGTAGGACAGCCACGCATTGTAGCCAGAGTCAGCGTCCACCGCGTGTATCTTAGTTACAATGTGGCCAGCGCCCAGTGACCTAGACATCAGCTCCCTCACTGTATCCGCTGCGCCACCCACCTGAGGGGCAAGCAGCACTGGCGCATTGTCGTTCTCATCCAGTATGAATACTTGCAGCGTCACGTTACTGCCCAGGGGCGGTACGCCAGCGTCGCGGGCACTCACCTGAAACTGAAGTAGCTCAAGCTCTTCATGGTCCAGAGGCTGCAGAGCATACACTTTGCCGCTCTCCGCGTGCACTGACACGAAGCTCGACAGTGCACGCTCACCCACCCGCCGCTCCACCAGAGAGTAGGACACCAGAGCATTCTCCTGCGCATCTGCATCATGCGCAGACACCGTGAAGATGTGACAGCCTGGCGGGTTGTTCTCCTTCACGAACACTGTGTACTCGGGCTGCGCGAACAATGGCGCATTGTCATTTACGTCAGCCACCTCCACGGACACACTGGCTGTGGCCCACAGCGAAGGGGAGCCCCCGTCCCTGGCGGTCACCACCAGCTTATAGTCAGATATGGTCTCGCGGTCCAGGGCGCTGTCCAGCACCAAAGAATAGTAATTCTTGAAAGTGGACACTAGCTTGAAGGGAACATGTG